TTTCTGTTTCTTCGTGGGGTCGTGTATGCCGGGTTTTGAGACCACGGGCTCCCAATCTTTCTTTTGTAGAGCTAATGTGAGAAACAACAACAACAACAACAACAAGTCAGTTTGTGCCGCTTAGGCACATGAATAGACAGATTGTACGTCCACACACCAACCCACCTTACTATCTCCAACCGCACAAGCGGTGTGAAGCATCGGAGAACCCACGCTTCCGAGCCGCGACTATCAATTGTCTCTCGCTGGGTTCTGTTCCACACTGCAAGACCTAAACATCAGCAATGAGCTTGGAGGGGGAGAGTAACGGAAGGACTTGCGTGACCTGATGAAAACATGAACAGCGGTGGTGTCGCTATGGGGTGGGGTGGGCTGCTCGTTGTGTGGTGTGTATATCAGCTCACACGCGAAAAAAGATGAAAACCGCGTGTGCTCCGTCACACCTCGAAAACTTCATTATTTATTTGCATGGGGGGAAGGGTGCGTTGTTCACAAGGTGTGTACTGTATGTCAACAAGATTCGGAGGAAAACGGCACGCCGGGTATACCGCAGGTGTTACGCATATCTAAACTTCAACCGCTGTAGAATTACGGTCGACTTCAAGACACCCCTTGGTGTCAACGACTCGAATCGGTAATGATTCGGTGATGAGCATGAACGACAATCTCGCTCAAAGGAACGGTTGCAATGAACTGGCCGGCACTCTGTTGGTATCATTTGCAGACCCACAGCTCATGACAGCTCGGCCCAACAATCGGCACCTAGTGCCGCACAAACCGCAGGTTGTGAGTGTTCGCAGCACGAAAAATGGAGTTTCTTCGTGTAGAATAGACCGGGTCTGCCGTACTGGCTGCGTGTATTCCCCGTTTTGGTTGGTGGAAGCTTCCACGGGAGCAACTGAAGCCTTTTTGGGGAAACCCGTCCAAGTTTTGGAATATTCCGCCATCTCCATGGAGGAAGTACTTCCGGGCGATTCATTCTCAACTGGTGCAAGGATTTAACGGTGGAAATGCCGCCGGATATGTTCAGTTCGAAATCTGACAGCTTCTGTAGAATTTACGAAAGGCCATTCATTGAGCTTCCCTGCAAGTTATCTGAGCAGGTGAAATTGTCTCCGAACGCCCAACCTGTTGCAAGATTGGTTCCCAAAGCCATGAAGAGGAACCCGTCTACATCGTTTATCGCTACCAGTTTACCCTCCTCCGCAGACCTTATGTACGCAGGGCACAATCTCCTACGACAAGAAGACTCCTTCGGTCTACGTAGTGGCACGTGACATGCCACAAGAACGTGACATGCCACAAGATCAACCTTCGAAGCTTTTGGTTGTTCAAGTGCCAGAACTCGCCCGTGAAGCATGACGTCCCCTACCACGGCGACGACACTTATGTCATCGTGTTGTCGACCCTTCAAGGCATGCTTCCATACAGCCTGCGGTTATCTCACGGGGAACACAGGCTGCGGCGAGTCAATCGCCGGAATAAGCTCCAGCAGTCACTGGTTCGTCCGCCTTTGGCCCTCGAAAACCTCCTCTCACCAGGTGTGCTAGTGAAATTCGAGTGGGCGCCAAGCCTACTGTTGTGGCTTCTCGGGGTCGTTGGTGTTGGGAGCGTGCTGATGGCATGCATGGGGTCCGTTTCCTCTCCACCAGGCGCTATTCAAGGCTCGCAACAATCGGAACGCTACCAAGCCTGCGAAGCCTCTTCGAAGCGCGAGATCCGACACATGTCTCGGAAAAAGGCGGCATTGCACACCTTGGTTCGTTCGTCTGCCGGTCTTGGTGGCCGCCGTGCTATGCTGGCCTTAATCTCAGTCGCCCACGTGGACGTGGTGGAAGGCAAATGTGAGAGAGTGTGGTAAGCATTCACACCGACGATAGTTGAGGAGCAGAGTTATGATTGGCGGTCATGGTGAAGCTCGGACCCCTCTGTACCGGCAACGAACACGTGTTGGGATTCGATTGATTCGTTTCGACCTCTCCAACAGACGGACCAATGAAGTGTTGCCAGACTTCGTAGGCGGCAAAGAACGCCAACTATTGCTGCTGTGTTGTTGTATACTTTTAGGTCGCACCAGCCGGGGTACTACTTGAGGAATGCACAGAAGTTTCCCCACCCTTCTTCGTGTCTTCCTTCGACGGCATTTGACTTGATTCTTGTTTCTGGACGCCAGAAGGACAATATTTTCTTCTTCCCACCCAATAACACGCGAATTTGTCGGTATTCACCCGTGTTTTGCATTGAGTTGAGGAAACATTTTTCTAGTTCATGTGGTGATTGGGCCCGAGATTCGAGACCACGCCCCCAACATTAGATACTTCACAGATTACATGGAAACAAACTGAGGGCGACCGATGGACCTCCTACGAGTTGTTTCTTTTCGCTCTCATTCCAAACACTGCCGGAAATATTCACGTATTGTTTCAAGCAAGCGGAGTTCTGTCGCCTCACGATTCACTAACTGGGTAACGAAGTCCTTGTCCCGTCCCGTTGCTGATTTCGACCCGTGCCTCGCAGGGCTTATTGAATTTCCGTCGGGGTTCAGGTGCATGTGGAACGACCTGCCGCACGGCCTCCAGTTCGCAATACTCTTGCTGGTGCGATCAGGTCTTGTCGTTGAATACGATATCGTTCTTCAGGCAAAAATAGTTCATAGCGGTGATGCAACAAGCGTGTAGATCTCGACACGTGCCTACTGCCGTCTGTATACTGCTGGCGCTTGTGTCGTAAACACATTCCAGCAGGAAGGGTCGTCTCACCTCCTCAACGTGACCACCGGGGTCTCGGTCTCGAAGGCTCGAGTGTCTTTGAGTCGTAAACCGAAGTCTCGGTCTCGACGGCTCGAGAGTCATTGACATGTCAGCCGAATTTTTGGTCGCGAAGGCGTGAATGCCGTTGAGTTGCCAACCGAGGAACGGATGTTCTAAATTGTGCACAATAATGTCTTCGGCTCACGCGCAGATGCTGGGGATTCTGTACGGAGTCAATCGACTCTTCGACAAAGCCGACGAGGCTATATACACTCGCCTGACCTGCGCCACAGCAGGGCTACTGAATGAGAGGAGGCTCCACCACGCTTACTGAATATCCTAGCCGATTCAATAGCGAAATCCGAGAGACGAAACGGAAGCCCTGCAAAGGGTTTGGGTGTTGCTGCGAGCCTATATTGGCATTGACCATCGCTTTCATTAGCGCACCGCGATTGCCCTCCTCGGTTGGCTGAAAGTTGCTGGAGACTAGGACGCCATCATATCTATTTTGTGAACGGCCGTTCCCTTGGTCAGCACCGGTGGCCCGTTTCTCGCTCGGTGTGGCAGCGAGAATACATGCATGGGGCCATCTCTGCGCCTTCGGTGTTCCTAGCCTTCCCGGAGAACAAATCGAAATTTGAGGAAATGGGGCCCTCCACACCCACCTACCTACAACACCATCCGCACCAGACGGATTGGAGACAAGACAGTGCCTTAATACAGGAGACAAGACGTCGTCTTGACATAGACTCCCTTGCGCACGCGCGATATTTCTGTTTTTTCATTATTTGCCAGTCGAGGTATGCGTGCCACCCAATGCTTGCGTGTGTATGTATGAAGTTGAGTCGGAGGTGTGCTCGATCGAATGAGCGATGTTTTTTCTGTGGGTTGGGTAGTTGTTCTCAGAATTTTCCACTGTTGACACAGCTGCGGGTGGATGCAGAAGTAGGATCCTGCACTGGAACACGAATACATTATGTGTACATAACGTATGGACGGATGCGAGCAGCCCCCCAGGGCCGAGTCAATCAGAGAGAGGTTCATTCTGCCTTTCCTGCTTTGAAACATTTATTGAGCATCGCGTTCGAGTCGATTTGCTTGATTATTATCATGAATTGTCTGCCATGTCTTGTCTAGGTACCTCTTTGTGTACAAGTCTGTGACCGACCACGGAATGCGTTCGTGTCAGGGTTGGGACCAAGCACGGACATTAAAAGGTGCTCAGCAGCATCCGGAAATCCATTCCGTGGTCAAGTAATTTATTCTATTTGGGGGGGAAGGAGGGAACTTCTAGCTTTTGGGGGGGGCGCAGATGGCATGGGTGCCGGAAAACGCTGGTCCTGGTACATGATTTGGACTGCGGATGAAGACCCGGTTGACTCGGGTTTCTGTGTACCCCAACTCATCGATGGACGGCAAGGACCTTCGGTTGCGGTCACAGTTGGTGCACAATATGGCACCTGGTCGGTGCACAATATGGCACCTGGCCACGTATCTAGTTCTATAGTATACCGAGAAAGGGAGTGCGTTTTTCGTAATGTGATATCATCGATCGTCATTCCCAATGACCAATCATGGCAATATCTCAAGGAACACAATCCCACTTACATAGTTGAGAGATGTTCCCCCCTGTCATTGTGGACCGGAGTGAAGATGTAGGGTGAAGGTTGCTGATCGATGGTGATGAAAGAGAGCAAGGCATAATTGCATATTTTTCGTAGATAGGGGTGAAGATATTTTAGTGAAGGTCAACACCAAATCTTTATGGAAGCAACGATGTGGCGGTTGTTCGGGGGCCACAGTAGCAGTGTAGGGAAGCTCCTTGAAGAGGTAGGTATGTCCACGGCGCTGTCGAATGTGATCACTGTTCGCCGTGCAACATCGTTGAGTGAATTGTGAAAGCTGGTGTGTAATGAAGATATGAGAACGCAAAACCTGGAATACGAAAGGATGCGTCCCGTGAGCTGCAGTGGGTGCTGGAATGGCAGTCTATCTGCGGAGTAGAGCACGTACGTATCTTGAGAGCGGGAGAAAAGTGCGGGTCACGATGACTTCTAAAGTATGACGTGTATGTGCCGTTTGCTCATCCGTGCGATTGCAGGAAGATACAATGATGCAAACACACGCTTCGGCTTTGACACGAGTTCAGTTTACCCCTAGCGATGCCCACGGGGAACTCATACACGAAGCCTTCATCCACACTCATGTGCAGCCATGGGGGGTTAGTCCTCTCCTAATCTCTCAATAGGTGCTCGATCTTTATATTTTTGTCACGTCGAGCCCGTAGATACGACCACAACATGATAGATCAATCATTGTTGCACAGCATGGAGAGAGAGCAGGCACGTGTGAGTAGCGATAAGCGGCAGGGAGAGAAATGAATATATCGGGGAGGAATGGCGACAGATTCGGGCACTTGTACCGGCGACAACACCTACATCGAAACGCGTACATGGGGCTCCGTTCGATCGCGGCGAGGGCAACCTTTGTAAGCTGTTATGGAGCCAAAGGAAACGAGGCGTGGAGCCCTTTCCCGTGTTCGTTCCTCATCCTTGGACCCCCGAACGACAGAGGGGACCTTTCTCTAATGAAAACAACGCCAACATATTGAATCCCCAACTGAATGAGGGGAGTCTTGAAGGAGCAGCAGATCGATGGTCGCGCGGGCTTCAGCAGCTACGACAATGGCATGTCAGTCGCCAACAGGGGGTGTTTGCCATTTTCGTTGTGCAACAGGTATGCTACGTGAAGCAGTTGCAATGAAGTCATCGGTCAACAGAATGGATAAGAGTGGATATTGGTGCGGTCGCGCAGCTGGGGAGACGTCACGAGTACGTTTCGCGAGGGCAATCAATCGTGTTGGCCAGTAGCATGCATGGAAGTGCGACGGAATGGCGTGGGGGGCGTGGAGAAAGGCTTGGGATAGGCGTGACGGGAATACTTGGTGCGGAGAAGCATCGCTGGAAGTCCTTGGAGAGAACGTGGGGTGGGGGGCAAGCGCCATTGGTAGCGAGAAATAACATTCGAAGCGGGAGGGAATGGCGCAGTGCAGCGTTTGTCTTCGGCAACGAGCGATGGGGGTGGAGCGACGCGGGTAGGGAAGGAAACGATATGCGAAGCGGAACATGCTATCCAACCATGTAGGCATTCGCAGCGAGGTTAGAACCTCCCGGCATGCCTTTCATCCTAGTAGGTTCGAGTATCTCCAAGAAACCCACTTCTGTTAAGGTATGCGCGCGTGGAGGTCCTGCCGACGACACCAAGTGTAAACGTATAAACGTGTGTGTGTGTTTTCGTCCTATTTGTTATGGCGACGATCCCCCCATTTTTCGTGGTGAGACGGGTACTACACTTTTCAGCGTATGTAGAGTACACACCCTTCAGTGTATTTTTTCGTACAACTGCAACCATCCAGGGTCACAGAGGCGGGGGTAAACACCAGGGCTTTTTCTTCTTTTTATTTCTTTTCATGCCCCACCTCCTCCTGCGGTGTGTGCTGAACTTTGTCTTTATCGTGAGAAGGGTCCAGCCGTCCCTTTCCCTCGTCAACGGTGCTATCGTCAAAGTTTGGTACCCACGAGAGCTTTTCAGCTATATTTCGCTTTCACCCGCATATTTCGTAAAATTTCCACGAGTGGTGCGTCAGGAAGACCAGTGAAGAAGGAGGACTCACGTGTTACAAGTTCGTGCGGAGCAGCAGCTGTTCCTGTTGCCTTGGGTAAGGTAGAGGGCTGACAGGAGTAGGGGCGGATCGATTACTCAAGCGGGGCTGTCCCCTGTTTATCCTTCCGCGAGGAGATGAACTCCGAGCACCTTCAAAATCCTATGTTCCACCTACACCTCTCAATCCTCAAACATTTTTGCCAGCTCATTCCCGAAACATTTTTTGCGCTACAGTAGATATCCTTCGCAATCTCCCCAACATGACGTAAGCCCTTTCGTGGAGGAATTGATGAATATTTCCATCGTTCTTTGCGGTTTGCTCCCCCTTCATCTGCACCCAACAATGTTGTCTAAACCAGAGACGCACCCACACACCAATCCACATGTAAGAGGTTGTCTGAACAAGTCACGTCATCACGCGTTTTGGACATTCACAACACGCAAGTCAATAGAGGCTTCATCATACGTTCCGATATATGGTACGATTTGGCAACAACGTCGTCGGTATTCTGGCGGTTCATGCCGCGTCGAGTTCATATCGCAGGACCTCTGCTTGCCATGAGGGCCGCGGGGTCATGGCGTCCTCCCGTCGGCACCGGGGCGGTGCACGTACGGTTGTGAGCTTTTAAGGATTCCATGTCTCGAAATTCCGGCTCGTCCGGGCAGCGGAAGCACCGCAAGGGTACCGTGTGGAGCCTGCAGAATTTGCGCCTGGCGGGCAGGAAAACAGGGAGGAAATTGATGTGAGTGATTTGCTCAATATTTCCTGGAACAGAGAGAAGACGAACGCGTCGTCTCTGGCCGGGTTGTGCCTACATATGCAACAAACACGGTCCATCCGCAATGACAGAGCCTCACGTGGAAGAATAACCCACATGCCGAGAGCGAGGCTTCTCCTCTCCTCCAGCCGCTTCCCTACCCAGGACGCATCCATGAATAAATCTGTCAAGCAAGGTAGAGAGAGTGGGGTTTGTAGTGGAAAGAATGAGCAGCACGGCACGAAGAATTGGCCAGACGATTGTGCAAACATGAGCGGCGAAGCATGTTGATTGGCCCCAAGCCTAGTGATGCTGGATTAGCACGGCTGACCCGGTTGACAAACGTGGAGGGATGGTTAAGACATTCTATTGGTTGCCTTCGTGGACACAACCCACGGAAGAGAGTGAGCACCAGTATGCATCACAAACATCGAGGCACTCGTACAACAGCTGCAAGTAATTCCTCGTAGTAAAGACGCATTCGGGACTCGGAACACGCGACAGCGGAACACGTGACAACTTGTGAAAGATATGATCGGAGATACCCCGAAGATCCAAGAACGAGTAAGAGCCATTTCTTGCGCAATTGCATCTAGCTCAAAACCACACATGGGTATCACCACAGTAGTAGCCTTCAGAAGGATGGCATAATCCACCT